AACAACTTTTGCCTCAGGGTCACATCGAAATTCTTCACCAAATTTAGAATAAAAAATAAAATTTAAAAATATTTATTTTATTTTTATTATTTTATATTTTTTTGGCCCGGCCGGGCAAGTGACCCCGGGCCACTCTGGTAGCCTAGCATTGGATAATTTTTTTTTGGAGGGTCAATCTTTTATTTGACCATTCACAAATTATAACTCTTAAATCATTTTCGATTTGTAGAATACAATACAATGTCCTTGACTACAATTCGTTATCTTAGGTTGAATCTTAATCTGTTTAATATTCATCTGAACTTTAAAATGATTTACAAGGGCGCTGTGTTGCAACAAGACGAGGACAACGGCTATCGACCCATGGAGTTCATGCTAGCTAGGCTGCCTTCATAAAGAGTAGCAGCCTCAACTTATGAAAGAGAACTCCACGCTCTCGGGCAGACCTATTTGGGAGGCACTTCAAAGTCTTCTCAGATCATGAAACTCTAAGATGGTTGAAGACCCAAGCCAAGATGACACCCAAGTTAACTAGGTGGGCAGCTGAAATAGACCAGTTTGACTTCGAGCTTAAGCCTGTTAAAGGCAAGTACAACGTGGTTGCCGACGGTCTGAGTAGAAGGGCAAATTACTTTGGAGCGATCGTGCACTATTTGGACAGCAGCTGAAATAGACCAGTTTGACTTCGAGCTTAAGCCTGTTAAAGGCAAGTACAACGTGGTCGCCGACGCTCTGAGTAGAAGGGCAAATTACTTTGGAGCAATAGTGCACTATTTGGACATAGGGACGCACCTGTAGCAAAAGATGAAGGATGCATACGCTCAGAATCCAAATCTATAGCGATCTACTAAAGAGAGTAAAAGAAACCCCTGACAGCGAGTCAAACTATCGGACCACTAATAATAGATCTTCAACAGACAGGGAAGGCTAAACTAAACCATTACATCTACTCATCGTGGACCTTCAGCAGGCAAGCAAGTCTAATCGCATCCTCTCTCTCTCTCTCTCTCTCTCTCTCTCTCTCTCTCTCTCTCTCTCTCTCTCTCTTTGGAACTCAACCATTATATCTACTAATCATAGACCTTCAACAGACAGGGAGGGCTAAAGCCGCTAAACTAAACCATTACATCTAATCGTAGACCTTCATCAGGCAGGGACGTCTAATGGCCTCACTAATTGTTAACGACCTTGCTAATTGCTAACGGCCTTGTTAATTGCTAACGACCTTGCTAATTGCCAACAGCCTAGCTAATCAAGGTGCGTTTTTTCAAATCATTCAAAATGATTGAACCCAATTGCATTCCTAAAATCATGATGAAATCTCAGCTTCTGTTTAGCCCGTCCCCAAACACAACGCACCCTCATTTTCAATTGCACCGCGTCGAAAACCACAATGCACCCTCATTTTGACTGTACCAGGCTGGAAAGATAGTCTGCATACATTTGTTATCGGGGTGCGTTATGGTAGGGAAAGATCCTGCATCGCTTTCCTTTCATTCAGATACATTGCTCATTTCATCAAGGCTCAACAACTGGCTGCTGGACACTGGTACTTTTCCCCTTTCGCCACCCTTTAACAGAATAGCCACTGGTGATTCAGTTGCAATACCTGGAATACCCCTGGGAATCTGGGACTACCTGGGACTACCTGGGACTACCTGGGACTGCCAGGGACTGCCAGGGTCTGGGAGCCACTGAAGGGATAGTGTTGTTAACTATGTCAGTAGGCAAGCAGCTCCGTGAGCCTCCGTCTACCCTGAGTGCGGGGCTCCGACCAGGCCCAGGTAGTCCCAACAGGCAGTTTCAGGCAGTCCCAGGAAATCCCAGGCAAACAATTAGTAGTCATGTCCAGCCTGATTTGTGGTTAGGAGGCTTTTTGACACACATATTCTAGTGATTTGGTAGAGTTTAGAGTAGCGGATCACGAGTGTTTCTGAGTTCTTCCTTTTTCTTCAATTATTCTTAGCCGAAGTCGGGTAATGGCCCCGGCAGCTCATTTTTTGTATTCTGATAAGTGTGATGACCCGACCAAACACGGACTGAGACACACAGCTGATTTCTGAGTTTTGCTCATGGACGGAATACCTTGCTGAGTTTCCCGCTTGCTACTAAGTTCTCTAAGTCTGTGTGTGTGCACGCTTGCTGGTCTGCATGTCTTTCTGAGTGCTTGTTGGCTTGAGTGTGTGTGTGACCCGCAAGGACACTTGTTTGTGGCCGTGGCATTGAGGATTGCAGTGGGGAAAACACTCAAGTGGCGGGGGAAGAGGCCCGCAACACTTGAAGCAGCGGGGAAGAAGTAGCAGGTAGGCCGGTACCACACCCTGAAGAGGTAGATGTGCCGGGTACTCGAAGCCCAGCAGAAGATGACAAAAGTTGGCATTTTTGAGGCCCAGTAGTTGTAGGCTAGATCTAGTCGGGTAGCAGTCCAACCAGTCTGAGTCTACGGCCTGTACGGGCAATATCAGAGTCTGCAATGAAGTTTCCCTCTGAAAGGGAGAAAGTATCGGTTGCGTGGAAGGCCGAGCCGCCTGGAAGTCACCGCCCAAGAGGCAAGCAGGCCGCTATATCTCCAGGCCAGGCGAAGAGCCCAGCCTGAAGGTCGGTGTGCAAGTTTGGCGGCACACTGGTTGGAGCGCTGGCTGGAGTAGCGCTAGCAAGAGCAGCGCTGCTGGGGAAGGAGCAAGGACACGGAGGAGGAAGAAGACCAGGAGGAAGGGGGAGCGCCAGAGGTACTTACCTGGCAATGGTGGCAGCCATCTTCATCACCTTGGTGGGTGCTGCAGCAGGAAGGTCCCCGTGGGGGCAGAGCTACACCAAGAAGCTTCAAGGCAGAGTCAGGCATGGCGGCCTGAGCTAGAGCAGCCATAGCTGCTTTGCGTTGTCCTTTGGACATCATGGCAAGGCCCGAGTAGTCCGCCATAGCCTCGGCCAATGAGAGTGAAGAGTGATGGAGGGGGCGATGGCTATGGTGGACCCCAAGTGATACCTAGAAGAGGGATTCAGACATTGATTCTGGTTCAGCCATTCAACATTGTACTATATTTCTTGTGTGAATAAGAGAGGAGTAAAGGAGGAGGAGAGCGTTTGGCTAAGAAGAAGAGCATTATCATTTGTCTATACTAGTGTACATCATCTTCTTCTTCTTTATTTCTTCTTCTTCTTCTTCTTCTTCTTACCCTCTCTCTCCTCTCAAGTTCATTCATTTCTTTCTGCAATTGGACGGCATTGTACTATCTGATGAATGTGTACTTCGAAATTGGCCAGGATCATAACACAAGGGACGCTGGGCCCGGTTCCCAGCCGTGTTGCTCCCCACAAATAGATTGGAGCATCGTCTCAAAAAGAAAAAAGGGAAAAAAAAAGTAGTCACGTCCAGCCTGGGATTTGGTTGATTGCCATCCCCTTCACCAACCTCTTTTTGTCCTGGTGAAGATTGGAGCGCTATTCTGAGGAACCCAAAATCACTTTGCACCACGGGATGACGACCATCGTTATCGACGCAATTACACAGCTCTCTCTCTCTCTCTCTCTCTCTCTCTCTCTCTCTCTCTCTCTCTCTCTCTCTCTCTCTCTCTCTCTCTCTCTCCCCCCTGAATCTGCTAACTGTGATACATGTGTGGTGAAATGCGAATCAAGGAGATGAATTGAGTATCATATTTACACATGCCATGCAGCATGAACAAAGTATTATATTCGCACAAGCCATGGAACACAAACACTACTCCAGGCACACACGCACACACACACACACAGGGAGAGAGAGAGAGAGAGAGAGAGAGAGAGAGAGAGAGAGAGAGAGAGAGAGAGAGAGAGAGAGAGAGAGAGAGAGAGAGAGAGAGAGAGAGAGAGAGAGAGAGAGAGAGCACAGCTCAGCAAGTTGGGTGTTCAAATCAAAATACAGCGGTGGTTCTTAAATCATCGTTGGCCAGCCTTCTAGGGTCATTACTACACAAGCATCAGAAATCTGGCATTCTGACCCATGGCAATCCCTGCAACTTCTGGCCATAGATCCTACCAGACCAGGTCGGCTTTCGCTATTCCTGCGTGCACTCCTTTTTTTCTTTACCTCCTTTTCTTTTCTGCATGCACTTATATGATGGCCCTTTTCACAATTTTAAAGGCCTCAAGGGTGCAGAACACTCAAGAGTGGAAGGCAATGTTGTGCCCGGAAGGCCTTCTCCTTCCTCCAGGAAAAAAACAGGTTGTTCGATGGCTTGAAGTACAGAAAAGGAAAGAATTCCAGAAATGCACAGCAGGAGGAAAGCCATCACTATATCGAGAACCCGCACAAGCCACGTGTCATTACTCTGCAAACGCTCTTCAGCCCCACGATCGAGACCTCAGCTATTCTGTCGAAAAAATGGACAAAAAATTGACTTTTGAGTCTTGACTAGATTTAGTCCTCCACCATGTTGTGCCACTCCCTCTTCCCCTCTTTAACCTATATGCACTAACCGCATCTTGACCTTGGTCAGCCTGCACTTTTTTTTTTTTTCAAGAGTTTTCTGCGGAGGGATGTGGCCATCGTGTCTGACCAGGTCCAGATGGCCGCATCCTTCCCTCCTGGTAAAAGCACGCCAGCGTCGTGGCATAAAACTCTTGTCAACGTAGGCCAGCTACGGATCAGGACGAACTGCAAATCACATCGAATGACTTTACGGACGACCAATCACAGTAACTTCACAGACATCCATTTTATACTTTTTTAGTATGATTTTAAAATTTAAATTACATGGACACATGTTGCTTTCGATCTGGACGGATCATCGTGTTACGTCTCAAGCTCAAAGCATGCACAACAAGCATTTCCCACACAAAATTTCAAGCAAGCGCAACGATGCACAGATTCGAAGAGTACTGTCCTTTTTCTCCCTTGTTTTTTTTTGTGTCAAAATTCCATGGAGAGTCGTAGACAGGATCATGGGACGCAAAGAGGACTGTTGGCTGTGAAAGAGTACATCTGCCCTCGACATGACGGTTTTCCAAGGAAGGAAGACCAGACTGCAAAGGGCAAGTGTCAGTTAAGAAGTGCACTGCAATAAAGTGCAATACACATCAACAAGCCATGCTAGAGACGAGCGTTGCTCTTCAGACACATCAGACAGATACCGATATCCTCGTCGCCCGAATAAAATGCACCGGCATTCTCGCTGCATCGGCACTGAAAGCTGGGCCAGATACCGATATAATGACCGCACTTCTCGGGGAAAGACAGTAGCCAAAACACCGCCCTAACATACATGCGCGGTATGTTTGTGATGTATATAGAAGGAAAACGTTTGAAAAAACCCAGCCCCTCAGCAGAGCACAGAGGTAATCGCAAAGAGTCATCTCGGCACACTGACCAGTCCGGAACCGCTCCTCCCCGTCCTCCTCCTCCTCCTCCTCCTCACCCTCCTCACCCTCGCCCGATCCATAAAGTGTTGATTCCCAATTGGAGGGATTCCTTCCAAAGGATTCAAACTTCAAAGGAATGAAATAGATAGAAGTGCCATCATCATCAAAGCAAAAACCGGAGCGTTCCGACAACCTCAACTGCGCAACTCGGGGGCTCACACATCCCAATCTGTGGCCAACGTACCGTGCGATCCAATGGCTAATCAACAAAACTCTTGTTGCCGAGGAATTGCTGCAGCAGGGAGAAACTCTCACTTCCATCCGCTTAGCTGCAAGGAGAATGAACTCTCTCTCTCTCATTTACAAAAAGTTCAAAAGCAAACGCTCGACACAAACGACCTAATAGATATTGCTGCAAGCCTGAGACTTATGCGCACAAGTTCGGCCGGTATTCAGATCATTCTGAGCAGTCAATCGGCGGAGCGACCGTGCAGCGGCTGCAGGTCCTCTGTTCGAAATGCTACTCGCACGCGCTGGAAGATATCAGCAGAAAAGACAAAGTCTGTGCGTCCAAAACTCACACAGCACAGATGATACACACGCAAAGGTCTGAGACTCTTGTGAAGTCAGATGCTATGTGCGCAAGCAGGCAGAAGTCCTTTTTTTTTATGCAAATGGACCCGGATGTGACTCGATCTGTCAGTGCAAAGGCGGGGAGTCGGGGACTGTTTGTTCTGCATACAGATTGACAATCACGTTCAAGAAACAGGAGGCGACGGCGGCGGAGGAGGATCATTCCGCTTCGGAATTGTGATTTTCCCGCCCGACAGGTCCAGGAGAGCGCGGAACTGAGCCAGCTTCCCGGCCTCCGCAGCCTCGTACTGAGACTTCTTCTCAATGAATGCCCCAATTTTCGCCATCTGCCTTCTCTCCCTCCGAGCTTGCTCTTTCGCCAACCTGCCGCGCAACAGGCACGCACACCATCAACCATCAAATCACTTGACATCCTCCATTCAGTTCATGATACTCTCCACACACTCGTGTGTTCCAACAGATTGCAAGTCCCTCTCTGTATTTTCCACTGACTCTTCTCAGTTGCTTCATCCAGATCTCCAGCACTTGCACAGTTTTGATGTAATCTAATAGACCTTTGATTAACAACATATATATCTCTGTCTACGGTTCACTGGGAAGCTCTTTTCTTTTGTTCAAAAAAAAAAAAAAGGCTTACTGGGAAGCTCTGTTTGACTATATAGTATATATATATAGTCAAACAGTTTGTCACAGCCCCTCGTTTGTTGTCCTCTTCTCCCTCCCTGCCTACGGTTTACCTGGCAGTTCTATTTGACGATATATAGTCAAACAGAGCCGCCCGGAAAACCGTACGTAGGCAGAGAGGGAGAAGAGGACAGCAAACGAGGGGGCTGTGACAAACTGTTTTGTCGGAGTTTCATCTACCTACTCATCAGGAGGCTGAATATATGTTATATACTAGTTTACCAGAGTGGCCCGGGACAAGTTGCCCGGCCGGGCCAAAAAAAAAAAAAAAAATCAAAATTTTAAATTTTAATTAATTTTTTATTTATTTTAAATCTGGTAATGAATGTCGATGTGACCCTGAGGCCAAAGTTGTTCAGTTTATTTTTCTGCATAACATACTTTTTTTCAGGTTTTTTTTTTTTTTTTTTTTGCTGGGACCTTCCCTGGTCCTTGCACGGCCAGACCGCCCGGGAAAATAGGGTGACCCGGGCAGCCCCGGCTGGTAGCCTATTATACATATCGTCAAAAAAAAAAGACATAGTAGTTTAATGCACAGTTTACTTTATTGACTCAGTACAAGAAGTCAAATGTTGAAGCCCAAGCACACCCACTGCAGTTCACAAGATGCAGTTGCCAGGATCCGAATCGTCAGCAGGCTCATATCTGGGCCACCGCAAGGCCTTGTGCCCGCCCTAAGGGAAGGCGGGCCCCAGTACCCTCGTGGGGCCTGAATATTGCATCTTCGAAGGCACTGGTGGGCACCAGACAGTTACGTGGGGCCAGTTGGTTACAGGGCACTGCATGTGTGACCATTGCCCTTGAGCCTTCCAGGCTCTCTTCCGGACAGGAGGCCTGTCGACCAATCAGATCATAGCAAACAACACCAGCCACGTTGGGCAGTTGAGCCTTCCAACGGAACAGGGCCCAGGGAACAATTGGTTAGGGCCCTGGGCGTGTACAGCAAAAACAGCCCGGAGGCCGACATGTCGCACAGCGGCCGTGGACCAATGAAAATGCAGCTGTGCTGTCACACACTGGCCAAGAGCCAATCTGAATGTGGCCAACGCTTGGGATCTCGTGGCATACTTGGGTGTGCTTAACTGCTTCGGGCCCAGGCCAGTACCTTGACTGGGCTTGGGGCGCTGACACTTTGGTTCCACTGGGAGCTACTGGAAACTCCCACGAGCAGGCCCAGGCAGACAGATGCTGCCAGCACTTTCCATAAAGGAAAGTGCCTGCCTCGTGGTGAGGCATTCGGGCACTTCGTGCATTGCGGCAGCGCTGCCATTTTGGGCGCTGGTGAGCTGCTGGTCAAGGGCCTGAAGCGCGTGCACGGGTGCAGGTGGTGGGCGCTGCACGGGAGCAGCGCAATAGCCCAGCCTTCCACAGCCGGGCTGGGGCTACGGGAAGCCAGTGGAGGTGGAGCTGGTCTTCGGAAATGGAGGAGAAGCTGTGGGCGAAGATAAGGGTGGGCATTGAGAGAGCGAGTGATGGGAGAGATGTGGAAGCGCGTACCTGGTCCTGGCCGAGGTCTGCATGTACTTTGGTTGCTGCTGCTGATGTCAACGGATTGCTTTGTCATTTTATTAGGCTAGCTTAGTAGCTGTATGATCGTTTTTCTTATTTATTTCTTTTTTCTTTCTTCTTTTTTCTTCTTTTTTTTATGATCGTAGTCTGGGCGCTGAGTGCCGATAGGAGAAAGAGCTTCAATACACTGTTGGCGGTGGCGAGAGAAGGCTTTCGTCGACGTTTTGAGTTCGCCGCTTTGGTTCTCCTTTGGCGTGTTATCAGTGCATTTCTGCTTTCTGGACAGCTTATGCGTATCTGGCTTTCAATGTGATATTGCAATTTGGATTCTGTCATTTCTCTATTGCTCATTTTCCTTGCACAGTGGATACAGAGGCCAAAAAATCTTCGGATGTGTTGCTGTACTGTTCAGCGGTTTGTGTTTTTCGGCCAAAGATGGGTTCGGCGCATGGGCAGTCCAATATATTACAACAGAGGGTCCAACCAGTTCCTCATTTAATCCACCTTAACCCACTTGAGGTGACGCATCAAGAACTGCCCCTCTACAATTGATACCCCCCCTCTGAGGAGGTGGGGACAACCAACAACCGCCCTCAAGCGTCACTGTGACAAAAATCAAAGCAGACTATCACACACCCACACCAGATGGAAAACTCTACAGACTGCAGGTTCACACATCATCATAAGCCAGCACAACAATCACGAAAGGAAGAGAGGTCCGTCAGAGTGAGAAAACACACTCCCAACACGCCGCTGGGACTAGAGGCACAGCATAGCCACGCAATGACACAGCCCCAACAACTGCCATTCCACCTGACCGGAGAAAACCATAGCTGGGAGCAATGTATCGTCAGCAAGACCGTCATCTACACAGACCGAACACCACGTACCTCTGATGAAAGCCCTCACCATCTCCCATAACATCCCGCTCTTTCATTAACTCAGGGCTTTCTTCCCGCTGTCGTCTCTGCTCCCTTCGCAGTTTCTTCTTCTCGATTAGTGCCTCTCGCCCTGTAGCTTTGGGCAAGAGTTCATCAAGAACCAGCTCCTGATCTTTCTGATGCCTCTTTCTCTTCGCCTTTTCCAACCGCCACTTTGCCTCCTTTGCATCCAACGCTGCATCCGCAACTGCCCACAGTCCAAACCACACAATTTAGATAGTCATCGATAGAGCAAACAATAGTCCAAAGCCTCTTTGTATCTTTTCACTTGCCAGTAGAATAGGAACCGCAATGATGCTCCGCAGAATGCATACGGAGCCAGAACCGCCAGTTTTTTTTTTTTTTTTTTTTTTTTTTTTTTTTTTTTTTTTTTTTTTATTAAAAAAAAAAAAAAACACTCCTCAGCCTCCAAACCAGAGTCCAATCTACTATTGATGACAAACCACAGTCCAAACTGCATGTTTTTTTTTTTTTTTTCTTTTTTCTAGTCCAGACTGCATGTTAGTAGTCATCAATGGAGCAAACATGCACTCAAAAATTGCAACCACACTTGCAGCGAGCCTACGCAATGCACTGTGTGCTGTGCGCCGTGGGGCGTACTTTGCGGTCAGCGACTTGTCTATGCGCATGATGCAGGAGGGTCAGGGAGACTGGGCCCGAGGGAGGTGTGAATTTGCCCTGGGAATCCCAGCTGTGATGAAAAGCCCTTCGAGCCCATTCACACAAGGACACTCCAAAAGCCAAGCCTCACACAAGGACCCTCCTCAGTACACCGGGAGTGGCACCACTCACCTCAGCCCTCTACAGTCCTGGCCCTCTCTAGATGAGCACCAAAACAACAGGGGTGGTAGGTAGCGTATAGGAAGAACAAAGAGCCCTCTCTCCTCAAGCATTGCACAGATATGGTCGCCACCATCTGGCTTCACTCACCTGTAGTCACAAAACCAGAGTAGTCATTGGTGGTGCACAGCACCTTACAAAGGTTTTTCAGGGATGCGCAGGATGAACTACCCGGTTCCACCTCACCGTAGCAATGGTGTGCTGTGGTTCGACGATTCTAGCATTAGCGAGCCTTGTTTTTTCAGGTATTGGCGGAATCGGTTCTGCCGGGCCATCCCGAGGACAAGACCCCATTTTTTGTTACACCAACCGACACGACAGACTCCCAGAGACTGGCATGAGAAAAACAGTGGCCACTCATGGGTCGGGTTCCCCACGGGGAAATGAACGGAGAGGGGGGTATATTGCCTATGGTGAGTGACCAGCCCCACAAACCGGGCCAGACCCGTTAGGGTCTGGCCTGTGTACGCACCACACACAGTCCTTAGAGTCACGGCCACTGTGTTGAAAGGTGGTGGGCAAACATATATCACAGGCTGCTAGGAACAGAAAGGCGTGGTGGTTGCAGTTATCTAGGTGCTGCAATTCCAGCCCCTCTCTCCAGAGAGGATATGCTAATAGGAGGGTGGTGTAGATGAGTCTGTCATCGAAGAGGTGGAAATGGCCAGCAACGGGTTGATGACCCTGGCAGTGATGAACAAGGAAAGGAAGGGGAGGAGGAAAAGGAGGGGTTAGAAGAAGAAGGAAAGGAAGGGGAGGATGGCGGAGCAAAGGGTGCAGGTGAGGCGAGCAGTGGAGGTGGCAGGGAATCACCGAGTGCCGAGGGGTGTTACATACTGATGTCACACGGGTCCCTTTCGGACCCGACCACTAGGCTAAGGGGTACTTAGGCCGGCCCAGCCAAAGGCCGGACCCTTCTCCCGGTAGGCCGCATTGAGGCCACCAGTTGGTTCCCTGCAGCAGACCGAGTCTAGGCCCAAACGACATTACCGTTGGGCCTGGCGGCGCTCTTGAGGCTGCCACTCGAGGGTCTGATCTGAATCGTCAATCTTGACGATCCAGATCACGGCGCGCTGGACAGCATTGAGGCCGACCGGCCGCCGGACGGTACTTAGGCCGGTCCAGCGGCCATTCCAAAAAGGTGGGAGCAGCGGCATTGAGGAGCGACCGCGCTGCGCTATTCTGGGTTCAGCGCAGCGCCGGGAACTGCAGCGCTACATTTAGCGCACTCCAGCAGCACAGCCGTCTCCCGCAGCAGCCAAGGCGCCACCTTGTCCCATCAGGTAGGGCCTGGCGCTACTCGCCATCTCCGCCCATGCTCTGCCCCTCTCTTCTTCTTCTTCTTCAGACTTCTTCTTCCTCTCCCTCAGACTTCTTCTTCTTCTTCTTCTTCTTCTTCTTCTTCAGACTGGAGACTTGATACGAGTTGGACAGAGATCAGTGATTGGACTTCGGTGGTAGGAGGCTGTGATACTTACCGGGTTCGAGACATTGGAGATAGTTGGGCTGGATACCAGGCGGCATCACAGATCGGACACCGGTTACATTAGGATTCTGTACCTCCGACATTGGTGACTTATGTCCACGACATTCTGATTTTGTTCGGTGACATTTGGACTACCATTTCGCTGACCTTCTGGATTCTATCTCGGTGACATCTGGCACTGCCTATACCTCCCACCTCCATCGTCTCTCCTCCCACCATTCATCTGTGTATGATTGTACGGGGCCTGAAACATCGTCGATGTATGGTCTTCAGACCCCCTCCATCTCACGATTGCTTGCGTGTCGAGTGATGTTTGGGTGAGTTCAGTCTATGTGAGTCAGTCCATTTCTCAGACTTCCACTGTATATGTGCTCATCCTATATTGGTTGATCTTTGGTTGTGAGTCAGTCCATTTCTCAGACTTCCACTGTATATGTGCTCATCCTATATTGGTTGATCTTTGGTTCTGCCCATACTTGGTGAAGTATTCACCAGTATGCATCAAGGGGAGAATCAGTGTGCGGAGGGGCCAGTAGGTGACAGGCCTCCCGCTTAGCTCAATAACTCAGCTCCCTTTCTTGCAAGTCACTCTCTTTCTTCTTCCTCATAGGAATGCCGCTCCCCGCCAATAGACTGGAGCATCCGGGATTCTCGCTAGGGGCGTGCTTTTAACACCTCTCCTAGCGAGGAGACCGTTTTTTCAACAACAAAAAAAAGGAATAGACTGCAGTGGTATGAGCGGGAGCATGTTCTGCTGCGGCAATGGTACGGCTTTGGCGATCGTCCACGGCGGCCACTTCAGCAGCATCCATGTCGTCTGCTATGGCAGTCTTGAGTTCAACGCTAACTGCAGGTTCCACATGAATAGTTGCAGATTCCTCGTCAGCAATTGGGGAGGGTGGGGCCGTAGTGCGTGGATGTACGGAGGGCTGATGCGACCTGTGTTCAGAATTGATATATACATACTACATAGTCAATTCAACATGATCAATATGCAATGCATATTGATCATGTTGAATTGACTATGAAATTAGTATGAATCACTTTGACTAGCTTTTTTTACATAAAGTACTAATAAAAAGGCTGTCGGGATAATAATAAAAAGTGCCGTTGCAATGAAAGCAAGAATATTAACTTCCATAATTTTTCAGAATTGATAGTTAATGGCGGATCATCAAGTGACTGGCGAGTCCTTCGGGACATCCGCTAAAATTGGAACGATACAGAGAAGATTAGCATCCGCCCTGTGCAAGGATGACACACCCTAAGTCGAGAAATGGTCCAAATTAGTTAAAAAAAGGGCAAGGGACCAGGGAGGCATGCGGCCCGGTGGCGATGCAAGTTGAGCAGTCGACGCTGCTGACAACCTCAATAGGCAGCCCATCAGCTAGCCAAAGCACTGGGGAGGTTGGCCCTAGCAAGCATCCATGAGCCATCGATTCCTGAACGCACGTGGCGCCAAGGCTTCCGCCGAGGGCACGCCCACCTGTGAAACGGTTTTCACCTGTCAGCAGTAGCGAGTGCAGATCCCAGGGCTCGATCCCTAGTTCTCACCTTACCTGTGTATAGTATCTGTGTCCACCCCGATTGTTTGAACCCGTGACCTGTGTTTTGACAGTTGTTGTTGTCGGTCGTAGGTCGGTATAGTGGTAGGGGTTCGATCTGTAGACCTGTCGGATAGGAGTCTTAGCGAGTTCTAGAAGTCGTAGCTGTAGCCTGTCCGAAGGGTCAAGGTCGTAGCTGCTACAGTCCTGAAAGGTCGAGGTGAAAGCTGCTACAATACCGAAAGGCCAAGTCTACAGACTTCCGGAAGTGGCCTTTCGGAGTAGGCTCATGTTAGACAGAGGCAAGTGGGCAAGTGGTGGAGCCAACCCCAGTGCGTTGGCAGTGCAACTGCAGTGAGGTTGCGGTCCAACCCCATGCAGTCAGCGGTACGGTCCAGTCAGTCCCAGTCCAGTCCAGCAAGTACCATATGGGACTGTGTGGCCGACGGAAAAGGGCCAGACCAGCGAGCTACAGAAGTATAAATCAGAGGGCAGTGCCCACTCATTCATTCCTTCCTGCGTAAGCCATGCGGAAGCGCTGCCATTGCGACTTGTGCGAGGTGGTCTGCAGTGAGCCCGAGGACGAAGTGGGCGAGAAGGGGTTAGCCATAGCGATAGGGTAGAAGCGGCCATGGCCGCCATAGCTGTAGGTGTGTGCGGGTGTGTGCAGGTGTGTGCGTGTATACAGTGTGACGCGTGTGGGATATCCAGGGTGATCCTGTGTGCGAACAGCAGTGTCGAGTGAGTGACGAACTGAGAGTTGTACAGGCGATGTGCCGCCATAGCCAGAGGAAGTGGACTTGTATCTGAGCTGAGTTCTTGGTACCATATCTCTGAGTTCCGAGTGGGCGCTTGACGCCAGTTTGCTACGCAACCTGTTTGCATACATGTGAAGTGTGAATGAATGCGAGTCTGATTGCACTGGTATCAGAGCTGATACCCGCTATCCCATGTGCCATCGCCGTAGCAGGGAGTGACGCACGCCATAGGGCGCCATGGTTGGCGTGTGCCATCGTGAAGAAGAAGTCCGCCATAGTTGCGCTGCGGAGCAAGGTGACG